TATATTCTGGGTCTAAGTTTCTTCAAAGAACAAAAGTTGATCACGGGAAGACAACACATAGGTAAAGCTGGCTTTTTCACATGTCACTCATCACTGTCTCATATCCAGCAGACAGTGTTAGTGACAGCTCACAGTAGATCAACATGACTCCTAGCTCTTCACTGAAATCCTTGTGTCCAGATTACTCCTGCTAAAAGTAGATTTCCTGACTCGTTAAGCTCTTCACAGCTTCTCTTCTTGTACCTGCACTGAAACATTAAAATCAATCACTTGTTACCGTGGGAACGTACCTGAATGTGAGTCTGTTCAGAGTGTGGTGAGAAGTCAGACTGAGCTCAGTCCCACCATGTCACATCAAACCCGAGGCTGCTGAGCACTCAGAGATCTTGCTGACGCTGTGGACAACCCCCCCCCCCCCCCTGCTGTAAGGAGCTCCTCCTGCCCAGGGCGGGGGGAGGAATCATTTTCTAGAACCTGAGAATCAGCCAGCAGAGTTTTCCTCGGTGTTATATCAATATCATGGCACAAAACAAAATCATGTTTTGGATTTACACAATCATATACATGGGCGGTTCTGGGGGGGTGGGGGCCACGGGGGCCGGTGCCCTAGTAACACTGAGCTTGGAATGGCCCCCCTGCATAAGAAAAATAAGAACATATAAGATTGTAAAATGTCTCATAGTGTGTTTTTTGTGGCTTTATACTGAATTGAAAATGTAAAAATTATTTTGTCGCGTGGAATCCCTAGTAAAATTGTTCTACAACTGATCATATACCTCTTTTACTGCCTTTTTTAATACCTTCATTAACTTATAGCTGGGGTTTTGTTTTGCAACTCATTGTTAAAATACCTTTAAAGACAGAAAAAAAAGATAACATAATCTTTGCCAGAGAATAATTGGATAGCTTTTTGTGGATAGAAAGAGAGCTGATGGAGTCTTTATTTTTACCCCTTCCCGTCTGGGTAAATCCTCTTAGTGTGTGGCGGCTAAAGTGAGACATCAGACTCCACCTGCAGCTCAGAGAGGAGCAGCTAATCCCCCCCCCCCCACCCAGCAGCTGATCAGTGAGAGGTACAAACACAATGTGATTACATCATCGGTCAGTGCTGTGGTCTGAGACAAGATTAATATATTCCAATTTCACATGCGGTGAACATATTGTCATTGCCTTTTTCACATTATACATGATCAGATCTGCTTTTGTGTTTCCATAATGAGTGCTGAATTTTTAAACCCTACACTCACACGATGTTCGCTTATCATAACTATGTATATAACATTATAGCTGACACCTTCATCCAGAGCGATTTACACTTAATTTTGTTCATTTAAAGGGTCAGATGTGCTGACTTTAATTGATCTGGGATAAACCGGATCAATTGTTTGGGTTAACATAACTGTCCTTGTGCTTATAATTCATTATAATTCTGATATATCTATTACGTTGTATTGTTTTTCTTCCCAGTGGAGAAACGTGAGGTTGGCCTGCAGCCACACAAAGTCACATGACCTGCTGTAAATGAGATTAGAGTTAATCTGGGACCAGAGAGAGGGGTGATGAATCACAGGTCACATGATCAACTCCTGTTGAGGGAAAAATCTCAATGATATTGGGGTTCTGTTTACCAAAATTCAAAATGTTCTCGAACAGAATTCAGAGTGTAAATGTTCATCAGTGATTGATATTCAGAGAAGTAAAATGAATATAAGGGAAGTTTGTTCCTGTAAATAGCCATATATAATATTCAGAAGTCACATTATGTCTTGACTTTATATTTATTCCACATTCTTTAATCCTCAGTGGTTTCAGGCTCTCCTGTGAAGATGATTCATGTCACTGGCGCTCCACAGATAACCACCGGCCCCATGTGCATTCATAATTGCTGAGCTGCTCTGGAGTCAGCTTGTTGTCTTCTGTCTCCCAGGTTGCACTGCTCACTGAGTCACCCGACTGTCAGGATATTATCAGTGGGCATTTCAAAAAAGGAAGTAGGCTACTGTGAAAAACAACAAGCATCTTCCCTACCTCTAGGAAGAATAGGGGGACCAGACCTGTGATTAATGTGACATCAGAAGTGAGATATGACACCCTACCAGGAACCAGCAACAGTCAGCTGTCGTTTGAAATGAAAAGGAGGTTAGTATCAGTAAATCAAACTCAGCCATCACTCGATCCCCAGAGCTGCTGATGTGTTCACACGCTGATCTGACTTTCCAATTAAATTCATTACAGCCTGTCCCCACAGGACCATTGTGCCCCCCCTCCCACCTCAGACATGTGTTGTGCCCCAGGCAGTGGAGGAACTTTCCTCCTCTAGGTACATTTACTCATGTTTTTTACTTTCCTTAAGTATTTACATTTAAAGCTTCTCATATATCGTACTTTGTAGTACTCCACTACATTTATTTTAACACTCACATTTAGTAGTTACTTTGTACTTTGTATATACTGATGTGGTTTAATGCAGTACCGTACTACTAAATAATATACACAATGTCAACCCACTACTATACTAAAATGCTCTTTTATGTATAAAACCCCTATACTACTCCTATCATACTGTGAAAAGATCCATTCTGATAAACAAGTACTTTCACTGTTAACACTTGTAGTACATTTAGCTCACAACTTTTAGTACTTCTTCCAAAACTGGCCCCAGGTCACTTCAGGTCAACATCAGAAAAAACACACTTTAACCTCACCGAGGCACAGCTCATGATGCGTTCAGGTGCTCCCTGGGGCTCTCCCCTCACACAGCTGACAGGGTGGAAACAGTTTTACTCCATAAAATATATTGTCTTAGTTCTTGGTATATACATGTTAAAAATTTGGTTTGGAGTCAGCCCAGCTGTTTTTATTGATATGAAATGTTGTCCCTAAAAATAAATTAACTGCACAAAAACAAACAAACATGTGTCCATACTATTACCTTTATAGCCCAACATTAGCCGCCTTTAGCTTAGCGGTGGTGACGTGACCGTGCTGTAGTTCCTTCATAGCCTAACGTTAGCAGTTTTTTAATAAGTTAACTTAATATAAAACACAGGAGAGACAGTTAATTTTCTTTTTTGCATGGTTTCCGACATGTTCTGCAGAAACTCCTTCTTCGTGCTCCATGGCGTCTCATATCTCTGATGCTCTGCTGCCATCTTGTGTTCAGGTGTCAACAAGGAAAGCATTTCTCAGGGAAGACACAAACAGCACTTATTTAATCAAAAAGACATTTGAAGACACAGTTATTTAATCAGGGAATAAATAACATACAGATAATATTACATAAGCATCATACATAAGTGTTGGTTGTCCCTGTTCATGTACAGCAGCAGTTTGAGAGTGAAATCTGTTTTTAAGGGTGGTGTTAGTGTTAGATAATAGAACAAAAAACCAAACGCAAATCTGCATGATAACAGACAGGAAGAGGCTGTCAGAGCCCCCTGGTAACCTGATGATGGTTGACAGAGATATCTCCCCTCCTCCCCTGTGTGATGTCAGTGTGGGTGTCTGGCTGTTTCATTTGGAGTGTTCTGTTGCTTTGTGGTGTGCTGGCCTTGTTGCCATGGAGCTTGTTTGTTGCTGCACAGGTGATGCTGGAGGTGTGGGTGGATGAGCTGCTGCTAAGAGCCTTTCTCCATCTTTTCAGTGATCATCCAGGGGGCTGGCAGGCCAGAGGGCCCTCTCAAAGAGACAATAAAGTTAGGAAAAGCCTGTGTTTAATCCTGCCTGTGTTTGATGATCCACTTTGCATTTTAACACTACAGTTAACTGCATTAAGTGAGTCCAAACTGTCCACGCATAGTGTTGAGGTAGAAACAGCCCAATGCTTCACAGCTGTGTGTTTCAGGAAGCTCAGATAATGGTGTCTCGGGTGTAACAGCTGCAGACTCCCCTGCAGGCTGTTCACGGTCAACCAACAGGATCCAGTTTCCTTATTCTGAAACAATGAGACACTGTGCAGCAGGCACTGGAATTATCCATCTCATCTAAATCATTCAGAGCTTCTTATGTTTGGGGATTGCATGAGGTTGGAACATATAAGCCTTAGTGTGCAATTTTATGTCTCCAACCGGGAGAAAATATGGCCACTTTCTGGCCAAAACTGCCATTTTAGATCCTGCAAATGTCATACATGGATTCAGCATCCTCAATAAGCCCCACACCCACAATGTTTTTTCCAAATCTGCCATGCCATTTCAGAACTATTGTCTGCATAGTGATATTTAATGCACCTGATGCTAATTGTGCAAATTGCCCAACATATGCAAGTTAGCATCCGGCAGTTTTTATGTGCTGGGGACCCCTATTATATTTCCCACTCTATAAATAGCACTCTATGAGCTGGCAATTTGACAAGTGTGGGGACTGTGGGAGGAAAGCCTGAAGGAAACATATTTGATACATACTGCAAACGAACAATAAGAGACTGAGTAAGGGTCTTGGTCGGAGGGAACTGGTTTATAAGAGGCTGCTGGCCGTCTGTCGGTCTGCTTGGCTGGCCCTGTTGGCCCCCCGGTTTCTGGTGACCCGATACATGCTTTCTGGTGGTGTCTGAAACAACATCCCTCTGTCAGCTAGAACACAGCAGCAGCTCCTGTAATTACAGAGCCGTGTGTCGGCACCACCCCCCACCCCTGCACAGCTTAGTCACTGCATTCAACATACTCTTGTAAGGGGGTGGCTAAAGTAAGCCACACAGACAAAAAGAAGGACAAAGTATATAAATATATTCATATATTTCTATGTTTAAATGCATGGAGTGAGTAAACCAGTACAGATTATTTGTTTTAAATCAATGCAGTTTTGGTGTTTTTGGTTAGCATGGGTCCTTTCAGACTGGGTACAAATGTTAAAAATAAAAACAGGACATATTCTAATGGTCAGGTTCATACTTATATTATGGGTTTCTATTATTTCAACACAATTTCATGTTCAAATACTTTCTGATCAGCAGTTGTTCAGGATGTGGATTTAGAAACAATAATAGAGAAAACACAAGAAAGATCCATTATGATTTTTATTTGTTTCTATCTCTGATTAAATGACAAAGCTGGATGAACTGATGGAGAGTGGACTGATGTTTAAGGTGAGTGTTGCACATCAACATGAGATCCTATGGAATATTAAAGTCATCATCATTGATCATCTAAAGCCACTGAGCTCGGTAAGAAGTCATCTTTTTTCAAATGCATTAAAATCTGGTGGATTTCAAATTCATTCTACACCTAACTACATTCATGGCCAAAACAAAAGGAGGTAACCATTGAAGGCGAGACATTGACTTTAGCACTTAACAGGATGAAATCCTCACAAGTAGTGCATTGCTTCTGATGCGCGCTTATCTTCCAAACTGTCACTTTGGTATTGCATTTATACATTACAATATTCTGCAAAGAAACAAAATGTACAACTGCATAAATATAAAATTATTCCACCATGTTTTAATGGCTAAAAGATTCAGAGTTACACCACAATGCTGTGATGAATCCAGCAAAAAGAAAATCTTGAGTTAGCACCGTACAGCAGGCAGTGTCTAACAGGCTGTACACACAACTCAAAAAGGCAAAATCAAAAGTAAAAGGCATGAAACCAAGTAATAAAACCCCCACAAAAATGATTTAACAAAGCGAAAATAGAAAAAAAAGGCAAAGTAAAAGAAGAGTCCCCGTGATCAGATGCAAAAAGACGAATAAAAAGAGGAAAGAAGTTCCCTGGAGTGCAGCCTTTTCCTTACACCGATCAGAAGAGTACTAATGTCAATCATTTACTTAATTGGAGTGTGTGTATATATATATATATATATATATATATATATATCTGACACACACAAAACTGCTAAAGCTTGCTCACAGAAGAAATGTGTGGTGTGGAAGGACCAGATTTTGCGACTAATGCCAAAAAGATCTACTGGAACCACGACGAAGGCAGCGATGTGCAGAGGGACAGACGTGGCAGAGATGGATTTTACTCTACACTCATCAATGAACAATGTCCCATGGCTTGGAGAAAAGTCTCATTTACAGCTGAATAAATATATGTTTATTAGGCATATTGCTACTTTTCCTCTTAATTAAGCTAGATAGAAGTGTAGAAGCTAGTGATGAAAGCAGGAAGATTACATCGGTCCCCTATCAGGTATGTTCTGTCATTTATTCATTCAAGACTATTTGTGATTGACTTAACCGCTACAGACTATCCCCCTTACTTATAATCTTCTACATGACTATTGTATTTAGTTTAGGACAAGGAAGGAAGGGAGGGGAGGGGAGGGAAAGGGCTATGGTCCTGACGCCGGTCATAAATTAGTGATGGTCAGCTTGAGGTCGAAGCGTCCCTGGAAGCGGTCCTTTTCGCTGTAGTCGATGTTGTCCCCGTACACTTTGCACTCGATACGCAGTTCAGTGTTCATGGTCAGGTTGGCGAACTGTATAGCCACCAGAGGCTGGAGGTAGTGGGGGTGGAGCAGCTTGCCGTAGTAGGGATAGTACTGCATGGGGAAGCCGCCGCCGATACCCAAGTACTTAACCTCTCCGACTTTACCGGCATCTTCCTCTCTCTGGGAAGAGACAGAAACAGATCAAACCAATGAAGAACAGACAAAGGAAAGCAATCGCATGCTAATGTTCCAACTGAAGAGAGGTGTACCCTGTTGGTGCAGAAGATGGGGATGACGTTGGGCTGCACTTTGGGCTGAGCCTCGTCGGGGATACTCTCGTTAGAAGTAGGAGGCTGAACAGGAACAGAGGAGAGAGAGGCTTTTTATTACGGGAACAAATAAAATAATAAACATGCACTCCTTTTGTTAGGAACTGGTCATAATTCTCTAATGAAAAAACTGAAAAGCTGATTAACTGAAAACAATTTAGGATTAAATCCAAACATATCATGGTCATGTTATATTTACCTTGGCCCAAAGCACTGTTTTACTTGACAGAGCCTGAATGCACCTCAATACAAGTCAAAAGCACTTACATTTACTACCTATCCTTATAGTATCAAGGTAGCTGCGGAGAGCTCATACACTAAGACGTTTTGTAAGGGAAAGCTATGATTTACCACACGCTGATCTGGGGACTGATGGATGCCGTTTTGGAAGCTTCTCCACCACTAATGTATAGGGTTCTGTCACTTGAACTGCACCTTGAGGATACGCAGCATCACTTCCGCCGAGGCATCAAATTACATTGAAAGAGCAATAATTCTCCTCTCATGCAACACGATATCAGTCGATGGCAGTCTCATTTCCTGCAGCAAACAACCCCTTTGTCTTGTATAATATTTAAAATTACCTTTGGACGGAAGTTGACAATCCTGTTGAGCTTGACGATGAAGCAGGGCTTTCCCTCCTTAAAACCAAAGTATGGGTCGTCCAGGCCGGAGCAGGGGCCCAACCAGGACCTGGAGAAACGGCAGGCCTTCCTGATGCCCACATCGCTCTCCAAGTCGCCTCGGTTCTTGTACTCTTGTGCTTCCTCTGGAGGAGGAGGAGGGGGGGGGGGGGGGAGAATGGTTAAATTAATTTAGAATAAGGATGCTGATTTTCCAAAGAAGGCCAATACTATCGTCTCCACTGAGCTTCCTGTACTTGATAATGCAACAATGTTCAATTCTGTCCGCTATTAGCCTTAGATTGGAGATGTGTGCACTTGTCATTGTGTCAAATGTTTAAAGAATACAAATCTTTAACATCTTACAAGTCCCAAATTTGCCAAGGATGTCAAATTGCATGGCTGAATTCTTTTGGGGGAAAGTGGTATCAAATAGTGCCTGAGCGTCTACAATATATTGTATTATATGTTCATCATATATTACCATAATAAAGCTTCTGTGAAGAGTTGTCTAACTTTAACAAGAGGAGCCAATGGGACTTCAGAACTCAACCTACCTCCACAGTCCTCGAACTTCATCTTGTCCGTCTGCCACTGCTCGTCATACTTGGCCATGAAGTCCTTCAGGGCCTTGGTGTAAGGCAGGAAGGACTCCAGGTCGTTGACGTTGAAGGCCACCTCAGCTTTGTCTGATCGCGGGGTGTGTGAAAGGCCTGCAGGGAGAACACATCAGCCGCTAGTTATCAACAGTAAAACCAGTTCATGGTTACACTGCAGTTCCATCATCCGCCCTATCAAACACGACATATTAGATGGCACGTTCAGGAACGCGGGCTGCAGCCAACTAGTGCAGATTCCGTTTAGATAATCAATATTAATATGCTATATTAGGCTGAATATGGTCCTGTCTGTCGGGAACACAGGAACAAGATACCAATGACTTTTAGAAATTGGACAACCCCCATAATGAGATACATTGAAATGTTAATGGTTTAACAAGCATTTGTTACAATCATAAAACAATCTTTGCAATACTGTTGGAATTAATAAGTTCTATAAGTGTTCTGTGCAGTGACTACAGACGTTTTATTCGTAAAAATAACAATTAATACTCAACTAGTTTGTCAAATGACATGCCATGTAAGACTTGATTTTAGTTCCGTTGGAGCATATTTCAGAATAATAACATATGAAATGCTAGTAGGGGATTCTGTTGAGACACATGAGCTCAAATGGGCTACTGTGCAATTGAAAATGTATCTCTTAAAGAAAGGAAATGTGTGTTTTTAGTCAGTCTTAACTCCTGACCTGCATTGTTCGCTTCATGTTTAAAACTCTAGTCAGCTGACCAGAGATCAGGTCATTGACAGGAGAATTACATGTGACAACTGTGTTTGGATGGCCTCAAGTGAACACATGGATACGCCTCTTGTTTAAGTCAAACAAAAGTCAGGGAGAAATACTAGGGGTCTATTTGGATGTTTTTTTGGCTAATGATCTTAAATCTTTTTTATTTTTTTTAAAATCGGGAATTCATCCCCAGACTGTCATGGAAAACAAATATGACTAATGAGGCACTAATCCCACAGACCCCAGTATTTGACCCTTTTGATTATCCTAAAGCATTCACTTGCATCCCGACATACAGGAAGTGGGGGCCACTCCTTACCAGGGGGGGCGACCCTGTCCTGCCAGGTGGGTTTGTAGTTGCTCAGAGTGAGCAGCAGGGCCTGGATGGTTCCGATGAAGATTCCGGCCAGGCAGCCATAGAAGATGACGTAGAAGGCAATAATTTTGGCTGTGGAGGAGAGAAAGAAGAAAGGCTTTCAGTACAACAGGGGGGGGGGCAAAGTCTGCAAAATCACGTGACTGGTCAGTCTTGATAGGAGTCATGAAACTCTATATGTGACATTATATTCATACCATCTGATATTTATACAAAAATTTTAAATAATCACCTCTAGATACTGGAGCTACACTGAGTGGGATCTCCTGACTCAGGTTCATTATGTAACAGCTACACCTTTATGATACACTACATTACTATTGTAGCATACTACCTGAAACTGACCACCCTGTGT